TAAAAAAAAAAACAAAAAAAAAAACTCTCCCCCATCTCCGTCGACCCTCTCCGTCAACATCACGATGCCATTTTCCTATGAGGCCACGACCTCCGGCGCCATGGGAGAAGATGAAACCCTACTCAAGCCCAGTTTTGCCGTCTCTTCTTTGTCCCATCTCGTACTTCTATTTTTATTTGTCCTTTAACACGAACTCTTTGAGATGTCCGGCTCGGATCCACAGTTAGATCTCGTACATCAAATCTCATTAGCTATTGGTAGAGTGGCCATAATCTCTATGGTACCTACAATATAGGTCAGTCCAATAGGGAACATACCCTCGCATTTCGGGGATTTGGGTAGGTTGGGTAAGCATGCCCGTATCCCAATGCTTCTTCTATATTTGTACCACAATTTGTTGCATTCTTCTTCCCTTGAGTCCCGATTTGAAGATATCTGGTCATCTGAGAGAGGCTTCTCCTCAGTTTGCTTAGCTTTAGCCTTATCGTTTTGCAGAAAATTAGCCTCTGACTCCTTCGTGTTGATATATTTTGCGAGACAAGCTAACATCTCATCAAAAGGCATTGTCGGCCGCTTGGTGAGGGTTTTCCTACATGCTTGTGGTCGGTGACCCCTTATCAACACTCCTGTTCGAATCTCTTTTGACGCTACCACATTCTCTAGTATAACGTGTTACGTACTAGTGGAGGGTCTTTCCCTCCTTGTACTACACATATCAAAGCCCGGTAGGTCTTCCAGTGTTCCCTCGCGCTGGAAAACTGGTTGATTAACTGCAAACTTAACCTCTCAAAATTTTATATCGATCCGTCAAACAATTAGTGAAACCAATCCTGTGTCGACCCCTTAAGGATAGTTAGGAAAGATTTACAGCAGACCGCGCCATTATAGCAATGTCATACTAGTATGTTCTAAAGCTCCTTAAATGTCTAGTTGGATCTATCGAGCCATCGGATGACAGGTTCAACTCGCGAAAATTATTCGACAGGTTCAACTCGCGAAAATTATTTGACAGGCTGGGTTCCAACACCTCCTTGGGTGCTACCCTACTCTCTACCTGGGCCTGTAGCTTCAGTAGTTGGGCTTGTAACCTCTCGTAGATAGCATCTTTAGTTGGTCGAGACATCATG